ATACTTAGAATGAATTCTCCCGTGAATGTGGAAGTTGAACTGGATCAGCACGGAAGTCGAGTTTGCTGTGTTCAGGTAGTGGTAGCCGTATTCCTTCATCGCCCACGTCCAAACGACAACACCTTGGGTGAAACGTCGGCAACCAATGAAATCGAAATTCAGTCGTTTCCTTCTCTTCTGTCTTATCGCAGTACTCCCTTCAATGCTGCATACACGTGAGTATCAAAGAGCGAAATCTCACGGAGATGTCATTTTCAAGGTTTTCAGACCACCTGAGCGCTAAACTAATGGATTGGTACTTTGGTGGTGTCGAGGTTTTGACGGCCATCTATACTTTCACCGACTACATGCTTCATCCATGGATTTTCAACATCGCCGGAATGCTGTTATTGGAGCCGTTCAGGTAAGTCCTCAAAACACGTTCCACTTTGATCATGTGGGCGGAGTCACTTGGATCATTGCGCCCTCCTTGATTGGTGCACTCTTTGTTTTTACATCTTCAAAGGGGAATCCCTTCAATAGCAAGGGAAAGCGATTCAAGTGACTCTGCCTTTTCGATCAGCGTGGAATAGTCTTTAAGATGAGATCAATAGAATGAACCCAGAAGTAATCAATTAAATTTCAGAAAAGTCTTCACAGGAAACATGCGACCGTTCAGCTCGTTCTACCGCAAATACCGCAGCTCATCACAAACGATCCCAGCTGTCTATAGAGTCCCACCTCCAAGTTACAACGACGCCACACAGAGGACGAAACCATCAAGGCCTACGCAGATGTACTAGTCCATTCGGGAATCGACTTGCTTGTACAATACACCTTTTAGATTACCTGTTACTGAGCAGTTACTAATTACCTACCGTAGACTAGGCTCTTGACTGTCACTGTCTTTGTCTAATATTACCTGCAGCTCAGACGAGCTATTTTCTATCTTCACCTGCACCCTCTGATCGGATGAACGAGAGCATGACGAACATGGGGGAAAGAATTCCTCAGTAGAAGAACCAGTTCTTGTGTGTCGCGGGATATTTAGTCGTTTTCGCTGCAGACTTCAGGACGCTCAGAGGGGGGGGAGTGAGGAAATTGGCTTGCGTTAGTTTCTAGGCTCCTTATGTTGCACGCACTTGTTGTCGCTCGCCCACTCCAGAAATTAATGAAGAAACTGCTGGCGCCGCGCTAAATCCAGCCCCTTTACGTCTTTAGCGAAAACGACTAAAAATGTATCTCAAAGGATCGTGGGGCAGACTGCGTCCAGTGTGTGTAATTATCTTGGCCTGCTTTTGTGGTCTAGCTGGTAAAGTGTATCAAAGTAGTCATGTCAGAGAGCAAATCGTAGGAAGTTGTGGAAGTGGTTGTTTTCTGATAAAGTGTTGTTGTAAAAGTGTTCAGAGTGTCCTCGACTTGTAGCCTCAGCAGTCCTAATGTTGCTACTATCCATGGGACCACTGAGCTTGGCGATCGCATTCGGTCGCTTCAGAGGGTCTTACTTGGCCTGATGAAAACTTCCTTGATTCTTGTTCTTTCTAATATTTAAATAGTTCTGCCAAACGAGGTTTTTTAGATGATACCGTTTATTGGGCTAACAGTTTCGACCTTCTCGTCTTGAGTGGAGTTAGTAAGGTACAGTGAAGGACAGGGTCTTAGGACACTGTCCTTACTGGTACTACTAACTTGCTGCGTGAGCTGAGCTCCGCACGGTGATACCTCGGCCTCTGAAGAAGACGAGAAGGTCGAAACGTTAGGCCAATAAAGGTGTCATCTAAAAACCTCGTTTGGCAGAAGTATTTAAATATTCGACATCATGCCGAGGTTTCAAGAAGGGACAACGTGGAGATTCTTTTTCTTTCTGTTGCGCGGCAATTTTTCTATTTCTGACAGTTAGTCAGAGTTCTTCCCCTCCGCATATAACCTCCCAGGAGAAGATGCTCCAGTGTGATAGAATGATGCGTCTCGCGCTCACGAAAAAACGCTTTTGAGGATACCGATCAGGAATAGAAGTTGAAAATATGGCGCCGGGAGTGTAGTGTGGTCTGCGGCGAACAACCTTGTAAGGGTTTCGCGGCAAAAAGTTACTGAGGAGGGGCGCTGTAGCGCAATATAGGATCAGTGGAGCCTCCTTTTCTCCACTGACTCTGCCTCCAGACCCCTTCAAGGCAGGCCTTTCCACTAAAAAACGAAAAGCTGCGAGGCGCATAAGAGCATAAAAGTGGTAATTTCAACCCGTAGGTTCTTATCGGGGAATCAGTTGTACGGATGACGGCATAGGGTTGGAGATGGACTTAATTGGTCACCTAGGAACTGGGACCGGAATGGGTTTCTATCAGAGCAGGTTTGGACAGCGTTTTTTTGCTTTTTTTTCTTCTATACACTGTCCGTGTTATTGCAAGAAGATGCTGTGCTCTACAGTCGAGCCCACTAGGTCCATTATGTTTTGATGGGCAGACGATCACGGCAGCTTTGCCTTCGAACGTTAAAATCTTCAATAACAAGTTCTCTTATTCTAGGCTATGAGCAGCACACAGTTGGAGCCTTTTTGAACCTTAGCGGAGCCCGATGATAACGGTGCCAACGCTGATGGCTGGAAAGCCAATAGCACCCAGGACGTGTGAAACATTCGCAGTACTCATATGGACGGGCCTTCCGATGTTCGTGCTCGTGGGTGGTTGGATTCCCAAGAATAGGGTAAATGGAACAAGATTGACTCACATGAGTGACAGTTCTTGCCATAATGTCCTTCAGTACAAGTGCATGTGTAATCAGATAACGTGGTTTGACGGCAAACTCCATCGTTCTCACATCGAGACGGTAGGCACCTGTAAATAAGATTTTGAGTGGAATAAAAAAATGAATGAGGTAATCTATTATTGAAGGAGAAGGAAATCTGATTGTCCCTTGGCTCCTATTATCCTGGAATTAGACCATAAATATTGTTCTTCTCGTTTGGCGAGAGGACAGTGTTCCCCCTCGGAGTCAACAGTTTTCTTTTGAAGTCGAGGTAAGGAAAATGACACTGCGTAGGCGAAGTGGGGCTTCCAAGGTTAAATCTCTGAAAAGGGGTAATGCTGGAGACCTGGTGAAGGCGGGTTTCCCAGATTGAACCATTAAGAAGAGGTCGACTAGATACAGTGCCTGTCGAGGGGTTTCCCAGGTCATACCACTAAGAAAGGGCGTACTTAAGAAACCGGTGAAAGTGGTGCTCTCCAGCTTATACCCCTAAAAGGAGTCGTACTAGAGACAGTGTTGGAGAGGCATTCGTAACTGATGGATAACCAGTTCACACATTGCCATGATGTGCCCTGATCCACGGACACCATTCGAATCCATCGGCCATCAATCATCCTCCAAAAGCGTTAATTACCTAATTTCCACGTCCAATTAACCGCCTTCAGTGCTTCCGACACATAATTGACAGCTAGTGGGGTTTCGCGGATGAGGTCCTTTATTCATCAACTTCTGGCTATCCCCTTGTCAATAACAATTCCGTCTAAAGTGCCCTTGATGTCAACAGCAATCGATTTGGGCTCAAGTCATATCCAGTAATGCGTTGAAGTACTCATAGACAAGCAAAGTAGTATTCCAGAACGTTTCCGGGAGATATCGCACATAAGTATATGTGTTGAGTTCTCCTAGTTGTAAAACTTCCTCGTGTTTCGATTTTCTGGTACCACAGCACCGATGATTCCCTTTTACCCACATCCCCCCTCCTCGCCACGATGTCGCAACGAATTTCTTCAGCCATTCGACTTTTCGGCTTCTCCTTTATGACCGGTTTCTCGTATTTGCTTTACAAAGGTCATTCTTGAAGTAATTCAATCCTACAGTATTCTCTATTCCACAGGTGTTTTTGAAACAACGCCAACAAACACTTCATACATCGGCAGCAGCTGTATTTAGCAACGCTGAACTAATTGTACGGCCTTTTTTAGCGTTCATATTCACCTGTTGAAAAACAAGGAAGTGATGGGAGCTCTATTACTACTTTTTTCCATAAAGGTATATATTTGTAGATCAAGGGAGTAATATGAGTTTAAACGCAGCTATCGCGTACACCGTACGGCCAAATTGCTACTCCGCTAAGCTCTTATCTGCCGTCAAGAGCGACGTGTTTATGCGCACCAACACAACCGTCGCGCTTATCTTCTAGGAAAGCTTTGCAGTCCGAACTGTGGTTCAGAACCCGGCGCTATTCGGCTTGGAAGGGGCATTATGCACATTTGCGAGTGCAATTTCCTAGTTCTTGTTGACCAACAGGTCGCATTTCGATGAGACCTGAAAACTCTTGTGAAATTGCGAATAGTATAGGTGAGTCACTCCGCCTACAGAAATTCCACAGGTCCTGACAAGGCGACCAGTGCAGGCTTCGCTAAAAACCATATGGGTTTCCCCACTAAGTGGAAATTGCCGCCCACAATTTGAAGGGCACAAAAATTTAGCCCAGGGTGCAGTTGGTAGCAAGCAAATACCATTCTCTCGCTTTTAATCGAATAGGGTGCTGAGAGCTTGACCAAAGCCTTCCGTGCATCTGGGCGAGGTCATTCGCACCGCAAAATTTCTAGAAGGAAGGCTGTCGTATAAAAAAAACCGACGATTCCTGCACCCATTGTGTATGCCGGTTAAAAATCCGCATTATAAAAGGAGACTGATAATATGCCGAGCTCATTCATTTGTTACCGGCTCACTATAGAGGCAAAAGGGAAATGGAATAGGCTCAAACCCTAGACCGTATAGGGTTTAATATGATCAGTGGACAAGCATAGGACGGCCAAGATCACTTGCAAAACGCGAGTGGCGACGATACACTGGAGAGTGCGGGACCAGATAAGAAACTGACGCGGCGAGAAGAGCGGCAAATGCATGCGCTGCCGTAGTTGGGAGGGGGGGGGTGGACCACTTAGTAGCGCCTTTGTATCCTTTTCCCAAAAAGACTCAATACTTAGAGCGCAGACGACCAGAGTCGCAGCATGATACTCGCTCAGAAGGTACACGATTCCTTCCACCTGGAGCCTTGATACGGGGAATTAGCACAGAAGTGTATCGGGTGTCGCTCTCCCACCCCCCTCCCCCAACTACAATACCGTTCAAGGGCATCACTATGACTTGAAGAACAATTGGGGCCGACATGACCCATGGGATTACCTTCCAGCCTGCTTAGCTGCGCACATTTCATAGCTGGCGAAGTGACGCACTACCTGGAGCCGTTGCAGAACCAGGCTATCACTTGAGGAGGGATTGCACATCTGGCTAGTCCGGGGGTAATGCCCTTTATCAAGGCGCGTGCCAAACTGCCATCCCCCCCATTCAAAACTCGGTAATCGGAATTGGCACAGTTGCAGTTCGATCATTTCATATCCCGGAAAGTCCCCAGCTATTTTTTATTCTTCAAAATTCAGTTGAACAAACCTGTCGACCATTTCACAGCTGCCACGAATCACGGTGCCTTCGACATGGACTTTACTGAAATCGATCGTGGTCTGATCGATAGCAGCCGACTGAAGAGAGAACCAGCGAGGTGAGACGAGCTGAGATTCGTCGTACTTCTTGACCTTCCAACCATAATACCTTAATTATTCGTATATCTTTCACTGTTAAACAAGAACGACATAAGTCGAGATGACTCCTGGAAGGGTAATGGCGGCCTTGAAACCCCCCCCCCCTTTATGTCATGTGTAGAGCCAAGACAAGCTGGCTTGACGGTTCTATGTGCATGCCTGTTAGCTGCTAGTTGAGCCTGTTACAGTAATGGGGAAGCAATAGCGTCATGAACCAGTAAGGGAGACTTTAGGTT